TCCGGCTCGACGTGCAGGAGAAGGAACGGGGTGGTTTTTAGTCAGTAAGAGTCTGACACTCCCTCCCGCCTCACCCAGGCGGGAGCAGTCATTCGATGATTTTCCCCCCTTAAAAAAAAAAAAAAAACCCTTCGGGGATAAAAGGCGTGATGTTGTGTTATGCGCGACTTAAAATTGATTGACGTTTAAATATTTCACCGTACATAACATAAAAATAGTTCTATAACTACAAATTCTTTATAAAATCACAGAGAACTTTGTAATTGTGTAGCCTCTTAGTATTCAGGCTTTAGAGTAACTTAAAATAATGACTGAGTAGGTACCTAATTCTTTTCTAATCTACATAGGTAACATACATACGTAACTTCACGCCCTTTATCCCCGAAGGGGTAGGCAGAGGTGCACACAGAAGTAACACCCCTATTGCCATATACTGGGCACATTTCCAGACTCCGTGCTACTACTGAGATTTTTTAAAAACCCAGTAATACTTTGCCCGACACGGGACCCCTTGCCTGGCAGTCGCACTTGCTACCAGTCGGCCAATGAGGCAGTATATAAGATAATAAATAATAATAATACACGCACGCAGCGTTTCGCGGCAAACTTCCTTGTGCGAACAGCTAAGGAATGGAATCCCTTGCCGGGATCTGTGTTTCCCGACAAATATAACTTGGTTGTCTTCAAGTCCCGAGTGAACAGGTTGCTCATGGGTAGGCGTACTTCATAGTCGGCCACATCATCGCTTACCATCAGGCGAGATGAACGCCAAGCGTCGACCTATTAAGTATAAATTAATTTAACTACCTCCAATAGGTCGATCCACAGTATATGATATGTATGGAAGCTCGGAGTCTGAGCATATACTGGTGCCCGGAGAGTTGTTCCCACTGGCAGGTAACTCATTGGTTCTTGAAGGATCTGGAAACAATGAGAATTTTTATAAAGAATGGAATCCATCCATTTATTTATTGGATATAGGATTTATTTAGTGTAAACGAAACAAGTCGAATGACCACTTGAATTTTTCGACTAGTTCACGATTCAAGACGACTTTGTTGCACGTGAACTTCATGAACAACAAGTCAACCGCTCGACCAAGCGACGGTCGCGCCGGCGTCTTGACCGGAGTGATACCACGGCCTCACAAAAAAACCGACGTGAAACAACATTTGCGTTGTATTTCGTCGTGTGAGTGAAGTTACCGGAGGCCCAATTACCCTCCCCTTCCCCAAACTCCCCAATTCCTGAATCCCTAACGATCCTCAAACTCCTAATCCCCAAAAGCCGGTAATGCACTAGTACCTAACGCCTCTGGTGTTAAGGGTGTCCATGGACAATAATTGCTTACCATAGATGATCCATCTGCTCGTTTACCGACTTATAAAAAAATTTATAATATTTAAATTGTGATATAATTACCAGATATACTGGGTACAGCTATAGTATGCCCCCTCCTCACAGGTGGGGCTCTTTGGGTTTGCTTCTTTGGGGGCACCGAGGACTGCTCCGAGCCCATTGTGATGGTTTAGACTGAAGATAGCTGTAGCATTAATAAATAGCAAGGTATTGTTAATATAGTACTTTAGCTAAAAGTCATTTAACCTCTTGACTGCCGGTATATAAGACACAATACAAAATACATTGTATCTTGCATAGATCTACGTGTAAGTGTGGGAGAACCATGCTTCGGCACGACTGGGCCGGCTCGACCACAGCCACGAGTCACAGCTGAGCAGAAAACCATAATGGAACAATGTTTGCAATTGTTTCCCCCCCCCGCCCCCCAGTCGTTAAATTCCTAATCCCCAACAAGCTGGTAATGCACTAGTAATGCCTCTGGTTTTCAGGGTGTCTATGGGCGACACCGATTGCTTACCATCAGGTGATGTGTTTGCTAGTATAGTGGCTTATCCAATAAAAAAAGTTCTTGCATACCTCGGATTGTTGGTAACTTAACCCAGTCCTTAGCAATTGTTTACAGAACAATATTGTTACTGAGGTAATAGTTTGAGTATTATATGAAGGATTATCCCCGAAGGGGTAGGCAGATGTGCACATTATGCCACTGTACAATGTAACACCCACTTTCCACTATTTATGTTATGAGTCCCATATAATAGGAGGTGAGCTTATTACCATATACCGGGCACGATTCCAGACTCCGTGTTACTACTGAGAATTTTTTTAAAACCTAGTAATACTTTGCCCAACCCGGGAATCGCACCAGACCCCTTGTCCGGCAGTAGTAGTACTAAGTATAATATTAGAAAAACAAGACTTTAACCCATATATCCCCAAGCTGACATCGGTGACCACTCTCCACTAACTACATTACAGACCTTATTTCTAATGTTTAGAGATTACTTTTGTATAAACAATAGTCAAATTGTTCAGAAAACATTGGCAAGTTATTAGATACTTATGTTCTACCATCTGGCCCCAGTTTCACAAGCGTTCCCATGAGATAAAGTGTGGCCTATGTTATTCCAGACCACAATCAACGCCTGTCTCAAATTTAATTCCAATCTCTTCAATGTGAGTGAGTGTTACTCAATCATATCGAAGAGATCATACATACAAATAAGCAAAGTTTTACAATTATAATATTATAGTTCAGAAGCAAGTTGAATTGCTATTTACATTTATATTTACACTGTAATGTAACTAAAGTTGTTTGAAAAAATATGAGTATCAAAAAGTTTATGCTCAATATTTTTGTTTACCCTTACTACGTCGACTAAATCAATAAATATATTGAGTATTAGAATTATCAAAGGAGTGTCCTGTATATTTTTAATTTGGTAAAAAGCATTGTTTACTTACATGATTAGACAATTCGACCAATATTCTAATACACTCGGTATTATACTTTTACTTTATGGTAAATGGAAATAGCATATTTGCAAAAATATTTTATTATTCTATTCACTATCAATAAAAATATGAAATCGCAAGTCGCGTATTTATTTTTTTCGACAGGTTGACAGATTTATGTAGTGTTGTGTAGAATCTTACTAAACTAAACAAAAGTAGTATTGATGTGTCCGATAATCGCATATTTTTGATAATCATTCACATTCACATATTAGTTATTTGCTAAAATTTTCTGTATGCCTACATTTATTATTTGAAACATATAGTTTTGTGTCCAAATGACTAGAACCAAACACCAGTGCATTACTTAAAAAAGAGAAAAAAAGGGTACGCGTTCATTATATTTTACCTATTTAAGACTAGTACCTATATTATGCAATTGCAAACATTATCGCGTACTATAAACACAAGCGAAGGTTATATTATAGAAAACATTGTCATAGTTATGTCTTTTAGGCGATTTTTCATTCCGCTGTATAGCATTACTAGTCCACGTCATTCTGGTAATGTCATAATGACGTTTAACTTCGGCCAGTGACAGCCCCAGGTACACACGTTTGCAGTATTTTGTAAATTATACAAAAAATACTCTCGTAACTTTCCAATTAGATTTAGAATGAAATAGTATAATTAAACAATAACAATGGTAGATGAAGGTACTAGGAAAACTTTAAGCAGCATACCTTTGCTTCAAACTAAAGCTGGCCCCAGAGACAAGGAATTATGGACTACTAGGCTGAAAGAGGAATATCAGGCTTTAATCAAGGTGAGAAGAAAAAATTAAAAAGTTTTCTAGTTCTGTAGAAATGACGACCTATTATGTGTGTTGAGGGTTGATTTTTGTTAGTATTCTTGCATGTAATCAGAATTTTTGAGATGTTGTCCCATACCCATGGGAATTTAATTTATTCTGTTCATAGGTCATCATCATCATAATTAATCTAGTCTAATATTAGGTGTGATAAGTTAATAATAAAAACACAATTTTTGTGTTTAATGTTGTAAAGTATAGTTTATAATGCTTACTTTAGCAAGAATAGTCATGAACAAATTTTTTATTTGTATTAGTTCAATATTTCACGCATTTTCGTAAATTGCGTAACAATAGTAGTGGGTTATCTAACACAAATTGACTTTCTATTCATTAAATAATGGTATTACAGAATGCAAGATAGCAATAGCTTGATTGTTATCTAATTACCTTTTGCAACACTTAGTAAGTTGGCTATTATGTATGATTTAAACTGTCAAACACCAAGCGGTCACCGGTGACTAGGGTTGCCACCCGTACTTTATAATAAAGTATTGTACGTTATTTAAGGTAATTGTACTCTATACTTTATAAGAATAATAAAGTACACGAAAATACTTTATTTTTGCAAACTTCATTTCTATTAAAGTCGCAAGTATTTTTCGGTAAACTTATCGATTCCATATCGATATTTATCGGTTTATGTTGAATCGATTTCGCCACTCGCCAGCGCCACTTAGACAATTTCTAGTAAAAATGCAATTATTTAGTAAAGATACTAATTTAATACAAACTGCAAAAAGCAGTAAAAATATATTTTTAAATATTACTAAATAAAAATAAATTGTACTTTATTTTTGTACTATGTACTTTTTTTTCTTACCTATAATCGTCAATGTACTTTAAATACCAAAATAAAAGGTGGCAACCCTACCGGTGACCGCAACCTATTGTTCTATAATTGTGTCTACAAAACCGGTACTCAACGAGTTAAAATGAAACCACTAATTATGGATACTACATGGATACTGCATCCAATTTCACAACAGCTAAATTGAGTATTTGATCACCATTAAACTATAGGCCTAGCTTTCATAAACAAAGCTACATATCACACAGCCTTGATATGCACAGTTGTTATAGTTGTGCAAGAGACATTCCTAAGGATCTGGGCCCTTGTTACCCTTATGACCGCAGCGGTTGGCTATAGCAAACAAACCAAATGTACTTAAAAGTCATTGTTTTATTGTCAGCTGTAGGTAACTATGACAGATCGCTTCATATTTTGTTTGTAGGTTATATTATAGCCGACCATGGCATACAAAAGGTTAAGACATTGAAAATCTTCCCCTAAATCTGTTTATACAAAAGTAGTCTCTTAACATTAAATTAACGTCTATAACGTTGTTGGTGAAGAGCGGTCACCGGTGACCGCTTGGGAATATATGAGATAAAGTACCACTACCTAATTCCGAAACGTCAGCAATGAATTTGTAACTCCTCTAGTGTTACGGGAGTCTGCAGGCAGTGCTCATTGCTTACCACCAGATGATCCATCTGCTCGTTCATTGCCCTACCTCATAATAATAATTATTATTAATAAATTATTTGTTTTTTTCCAGTATGTCCAAAATAACAAGGCAGCTGACAATGACTGGTTCAGGTTGGAATCTGATAAAACTGGTACGAAATGGTTTGGCAAGTGCTGGTACGTTCACAACCTGCTGAAGTATGAGTTCGATTTAGAGTTTGACGTAAGTTGGTTTCATTTTTAATTTAATTTAGAAAATATTTACAATAATGTTAAAGGATGAGTGAACCGCTTTCTATTTTAAAATTATGACTTTAAATGTGCGGTCGGCAACCAACTGCTGCGCAACATGCCGCATACTCAATCCTCAACTTAGATGAAGAATTTGGATAAATTTTGATTTGCAAAAACCTTTAAAATTTGTAGCATACTTATTTAGGGAACAGAGAGTATAGTTCCCTAAGATCGGAAAAGGAGGATCCTCCGACCAGACGAGGTGATCGTGCCTGGCGGGCTTTCTGCCCAACAGTTGTTCATTGGGATTTTCTATCCGTGTTAATTTGCATGTAAACATCGCATGAGCGATGTAGGATTCTGGTGACGTCATCCGTTGAAATGTACCATGTGTCGCCACACTTACACTTACTTGTTATGTTATGCCACTGTACAATGTAACACCCACTTTTCACTATTTATGTTATGAGTCCCATGTAATAGTGGGTGAGCCTATTGCCATATACCGAGCACAATTCCAGACTCCGTGCTACTACTGAGATTTTTTTTAAAACCTAGTAATACTTTGCCCGACCCGGGAATTGATCCCGAGACTCCTTGCCCGGGAGTCGCACTTGCAACCACTCGGCCAACGAGCCAGTCAGTTGTAGCATGCTTTATTTTCGTTTTTCATTTAAAAAAGAGAAAAACAATCTCCACACTCGGATTTTGTCCTGTGTTGCGGGTGCGTTTACAAACATACAAGTTCACATACACATTACACCCGGAACAAGAATCTGCGGATCACACAAAGACTTGGTCCGTGCGGGAATCGTACCCTCGACATGTTGCATGGTAGTCAGTTGTCCAGTTACCGCGCCAACAGTGCAGCCATATTTGCAAAATTTTGTCATTTTACATTGTCTAACCCAGAAGTCAAATCTGAGAACTGCTCTTTATTTAACTATAAACCAATAAAGTCAAAGTCAAAGCATTTATTTCAATTAAACTGTCAAACACCAAGCGGTCACCGGTGACCGCAACCTATTGTTCTATAATTGTGTCTACAAAACCGGTACTCGACGAGTTAAACCATAATTTGGTACTTTTGAAACATCAACAAATACAAAATAAATAATAATCTGTCATTCAGTTCGTCAGTGAAGCTAGGTGAAGCTAGGTGCTCATTCCAAAATGTAGATTCGAATGGAGAAGAACGAGCAAGAAACTCGATTCGTTACTCTTTTTAAAAAAAAGTATGTTCTACAATGTCTCTGATACACATTCCAATACTGTATGTATGGGCCCAAAGGGCTGATGCCGATTCGGAGTCGCGGAGAATCTAACGGGTTACCGGGGCTCCGGCTCGACGTGCAGGAGAAGGAGGTTTTTAATCAGTAAGAGTCTGACACTTCCTCCCGCCTCACCCAGACGGGAGCAGTCATTCGATGATTTTCCCCACTTAAAAAAAATGCCTCTTTTCGACCTCTCTAGTTAACTACAGACCAATAATTTCTATATATTTCTCATTGCTATTTATATTAATTTTCTTCTCAATACGATAGACGACTAATTTTTATTTTAATGTCCGTCTGGTAGATTATTTAATATCATTAGACACGTATTTTTTATTTTTTTACAGAAACGAATACTTTCTACGATATATTGATTTAAAATGTCGCGTGACGTCACTTCTATGTACATTTTATACGTAGAAATGACGTTTTAGCCCTCACTCCTAAACTTTGATTCGTTTTATCTAAGTATTGTTTTATTATAATGACAAAATAAAATAATACGTGCCTAATATTTATCATTACCTAACTGTCGGACTAATTAGAACTTTAATCTTCATACACTGTCACCATTCCTATTCCAGATTCCAATAACATATCCAACGACAGCTCCGGAGTTGGCTCTACCTGGTTTAGATGGCAAAACAGCTAAAATGTACCGAGGAGGCAAGATATGCTTGACGGACCATTTCAAGCCGCTGTGGGCACGGAATGTGCCCAGGTTCGGGATAGCACATGCCATGGCTTTGGGGGTAAGTCATAATTAAACGCCAGAATATTAATATGCTACCACATGTTAAGTTTTGCTTAAATATCGTGCTATATCTATTATTTTACAATAAAATTATAGTGATGGAACTTTTGAAACGTCAACAAATACAAAATAAATAATAGTCTGTCAGTCAGTCCGTCAGTGAAGCTAGGTGAAGCTAGGTGCTCATTCCATAACGTGGATTCGAATGGAGAAAAACGAGAAAGAAACTTCATTCGTTACTCTTTTTAAAAAAGTATGTTCAACAATGTCTCTGATACATATTCCAATACTGTACGCATATGTAAGAACAATGCAAAGACATGCTTGACGCATTATACTAATTACAAAACTTACTAAAATTATTGAGAATTATTGAGAGTGCCTTAAAATAAAGTGGTATTTAATAAATAACCTAACCTTACCATACAACGTTGCTACCATCCGTGCGTCACTGCATGGGTGCCCACTGAAAATCAGTGCTGAGTGACTTGTATGCCTGGCTTACACTGAGTGGGTGACCCTTTTAGCATAGGCATGTTGTCAGCGTCTCTTTTCTAATTCTTCTGTTTTAATTTTTCAACTCTTATACAGTGAAACTTGGTTAAGTGGGACCTGGATAAGTGAGAAACCTCCATAACTGGAACTCATGCTGAGGTCCCAACACTTTGGCACTTAATTACCTCTGTTAGTGGGACGAGGTAAACCTCTATATCTGGGATTTGTTCTTTCGATTTATCACCATAGTTACCTCTATAACTGAGACAACGAGTAAATTTTATATGCATTAATAGTCATATTAATGCATATAAAATTAATGTTATATGTACTAGTTACAGAGGTAACTGAGATAACATAGTTTATTTAGTCATTCTTATTCTACCCACAAATTCCATACGTAATTTTTAATTCAATTTTCTAATGAAATCGACCTATTTTGTTGTACTTTGGGTGAATTCACAAGGAAGGCATTATATGTAATATGCTATAGGTAGATATTAAGATGAGCACATTTATCGCATTGGGCATTAACCTGTAAAGATAAATGTAAGTGGAATAAAAAATAAAAAATAAATAAAATTCCAAGTCCACCTCTATTAATGGAACCCTCTGTAAATGAGACAGATATTTATTTATACCTGTATATCTGAGACTCTGGGTAAGTGGAATACCCCTATAAGTGAAACGACATTGCAGGTCCCTTGATGTCTCACTTAACCAGGTTTTATTGTATTTTTATTACTTCCACTGTCGCACCTTGATTGTCTTTTTTATATTTTATTTATGCTGCATCTTGCCTGGTGCTAAATAAATGTTTTTCCTTTCTTCTTTCTCTTTCAGTATTTGACTTGTGCTTGTAAAGTTTCATAATAAAAATTCTTACAGTCTTATATTTATTTCTTCCAGCTTGGACCCTGGTTAGCCGTCGAAATACCTGAACTGATTGAAAAGGGAGTCGTGACATACCAAGAGAAATCGGAAGAAGCGAAATAACAGAACAACATATATAATATAATACATTGTACATACATTTATTACTATGATGCAGAAATATATATTATGTTTTTATATAAGTAACTTGTTTTCTTTATATATTTGTTGTTGAGTGCTGTTTGTAAACCTTGCTTGAGTATAAGACTTTGCTATGAGAATGCTTAAGAAATTTGCGAATCAGTTTTATTTCACTAAAGAAAAAAACAAAAATTCAAGATTGTTTTTTTATGGCATTAACCGTTAAACGAGCAGACGGATAACCTGATGGTAAGCAATCGGCGTCACCCATGGACACCTGGAACACCAGAGGCGTTACAAGTGCGTTACCGGCCTTTTGGGGATTAGAAGTTTGAGGATCGTTGGGGATTCAGGAATTGGGGGGATTGGGGAAGGGGAAGGTAATTGGGCCTCCGGTAACCTCACTCACACGACGAAACACAACGCAAGCGTTGTTTCACGTCGGTTTTCTGCTCGGCCGTAGTATCACTTCGGTCGAGCCGGCCCATTCGTGCCGAAGCATGGCTCTACATGGCACTTGAATTGTTATTCCTATTAGTACAAATACAAGTTCATAATAACAATAATATACGATTAGTAGACGAAATTGGTGTAATTTTTTAGGGTATACCCAACATCGACCCTTGAGGAACCCCTGACTTATTTCAATACAATAGTTCTTTGCAGTGTATTGTAGATTTATGTTTTAAAAGTATTCATTTATTTTAAGTATCAAAATAGACATATCAAATCGTACTACTCTACGGGCGCGAGACGTCGAAGGTCATCAAAGAGATCTTACTCCAAACTCAGGTCTTCGTCCACCGATGCTTGCATCGCAATTTCGGTATTTACGCATCCAAGACCATATCCAACGTAAATCTGTTTAAGAAAAGCCACGTCCACCGCTAAATCAAACGCCGCAAGTGGGGATGGATTGGCCACACAATCCAAAATGGCTGTAAGCAGATTTCCAAGCAAAGTTTGGACTGGAATCTCCAGGGAAAAGGAAACGTGGCCGACCTCGGCACACTTGGCGCTGCACTACGATGGTAGAAGCGGCGAGCATCGTAATGACGTGGAGTGTGATGAAGCGAGAAACTCAAGACCGATGAACGCCCTCTGCCCCATCTAGGAGACTAAGTCAAGTAAGATCCTTGCAAAAAATGTCAGATTGTTTCTCAGCTGACAGCCATTGGTTACCGCCACTTCTCTCCGACTGGTGTTGTAAAAAGCCGACTGGGGACTACATAATTTATTGGAGCCTAGGCAGCAGCACTATTTTATCAACCTAAACATTTTAAACTGTCGCGGAGAACCTAACGGGTAACCGGGGCTCCGGCTCGACGTGGAGGAGAAGGAACGGGGTGGTTTTTAGTCAGTAAGAGTCTGACACTCCCTCCCGACTCACCCAGGCGGGAGCAGTCATTCGATGATTTTCTCCCCTTAAAAAAAAAAAAATTAAACTGGATCAAACCATGCATTCAGTACCTCCCAAGGATGCACACAGAACTGGGAAGTTACAAGTGCGTTGACAATCCTTAATCATTTAATGTCGAGGTGGCCCGGAGGTTTCAGACGCCCGCGTCTCATGCATGATTGTGCGGGTTTTTCTGAGTTATATGTACTTTGTTTGTATTGTAACTTTCGTGAGACATATTAAATAAATTATTATGTTTTCGGTTTACTCACGTAATAATTTGACGAAGAACTCGACTCGCAACTGCTGCTGGCGACTGTAGCAGCGCGACAGTCGCCGCGTCGCGGGTCGCGAAATGCTGCTCATGAATATGAGCCTCTAGCATGGCTTGAAACTAATCGAGTTCCTCGTCAAATTATTACGTGAGTAAGCCGAAAACATAATAATTTAGTCATATATACTTTCCAAAAACAGCGGTCTCGTGAGTTTTGAAAATGAATCTCCATTCCGCCACCGCGGCGGGTAAAAACCGCGTCGTGAGTTCGTAGCGATACACAAGACGCCGCTGCGACACAGGCAAGCCTGGCTGGTGGCCAGCAGTTAATCTGTTGGCTACTGTACCTATGCATGTGCCTATAAATGCACAGAGGCGCCGGCGGCACCGCTGCCGCTGCGGCATGATTTATAAACAGCCTTCTTCACTTTCCATCCACATTGGAAATCTTTTGCTTTATCGCATGACTTTCATCCATTCCTATTACTTCTCCTTCGTCCCTTCGTCACTCATTATCGCATTCATTCTTTTTAGATTCATGTCCATCAAAATCTTTAAAATATTGAAAAAACACAAAAATGAAAAATTATAATCTTTAATCTACAAAAATATCCTACAGCGAACTAGTCGAATCTTTTATTCTTTTCAAATCTTTACAGATATCCGAATCGTTACTAGATGAACACATTGATGCCCTAGAAATATGTAATAGTTCTAAGTCTAGGTCTGGTTTGGACTTGTTTAAACCTGGATCTGAAGATGGACCCTTCACTTTTCTTGATAACAAAGAAATAACATTCTTGACAACATTATTCTTCGAAGTTTTACTTGATTGCGAAGTACCTGAACTTTTTCCAGCACTTGAAACGCTTGTAAAAGAATATTTTGAAGCATTATCACCGATAAATATGACTCCTCTTTCCGATAAAAAGTCTTCTATAGAGTCGTTGGAGAAGTATGCTTGAGCTCCTTGCTCGATGGAGTCTCCCTTCTTCTCCGATTTGTATATGCCAAAACGTTTGTTGCCTCTTTTCTCATAGCCTGTCAAATTAGACCCGACGTCATAGTTATAACTGTGACATCGGATCAGTTTCTCAGAAGAGTCGCTCAATGCGTCTTGGTTGCTCATTCTATTATCAGGTTTTTTTGTATTACTTTTAACACTTCTCGACCTTTTGTCACGGATCTCTTCCTGAAAATTCACTTTTGTGTCTGTCGGTTTCCTATTGTCTACATTTAGATCCTTTCTTTCAATACCCTTTGCTTCTTCATCGTTTCTGACTTCTGGTATAGTTTCTGATCTTGGCAATCTGTGCCAGTCTCTTCGTGTTAGACACTTTGATAAAATATCATCCGACATGCTAATTTTAATGTTATTTTTCCTTTCTTTCTGACAAGCCTTGTAGCATTTTATCTTTTTATCGATATAGTTTGAGGATTCGCTGAAATATTGGTACTCTGTCGTTTCCGTGTCGATGTTACTGGTGCAGATCAGCGGTGTGGTCACTGATGCATCTTGCCTGTAGTTGAAAAATTTATTTTCTACTTTCTTTTTCTTTTGGCATCCACAGTTCATTGTCAAACAGTAGATCAGGGTGAAGATCAGGCAACATTGTAGGAAGACAATAGCGCTTAGTACCATAATTGTGTATTTGTGTTGAGTCATGTAGTCCATGATGCAGTCTATCGTTGTATTCGCTGGCTTACAAGGCTTCACGATAGCAACCCGCGATTCCTTCTTGTTGACAGGTTGTTCCGAAGGTTTCACATCGTCTTGTCTCTTTGTATTATACTCGTAATCAACCCCATCTCCAGCAGGACCTGTTAAGTTCTTATCCATCATTTTTATGATAAGTATATCTTTAGCTTTCCTATTCTTGTCTCCAGTCAGAACTTTGATAAATTCAATGTCATCTTTGCTTATTGCTGGTTTACTGACACATTGGTTAGCGATTGGATTGTATGCGACTTTGGGTATTTCTGATTTTACGTTCGAAATACAGATTGGAACTTCTACGCAACGTTTTTGAAGTACATTATAAAACGACCTTTTAGTATTGTAATGAGTGTCACAATTGACGGGCTTGCAGTCGTTCAGAGGATCTTCATCGACGTGCTTACAAAGTTTAGCGTCTTCAGGCAGCTTTGACTTTTGCAGTGTAGTATCAAACTTGATTTTGATCGTGTCCCTGATGAAATTTTTCGGTTTTGTTTTTGATTTATAGTCTACGTATATTGTACAGAATCCTTTTCGATCATACGGGTCTAGGAGAGGTGCGACTAAATGGAGCGTTTTTGTTGTACCTTAAAAAAGAACACAGATTAATAAAAGCTAGATAAATGACTACCCAGGCAGCTCAGGTACTGAAGTACAAGATTATCCCATTAGTCTCAATCAGGAGATGTCCAATACAGAGCATAGACCTCCTCCAGGCTACGCTTTCTGTGAACATAGGCATCATCTTGAGCTTTAAGTTCACATGTAAACAGCAGCTCATGTAGTGTAAAAGTCCAGTCATAAGGATGTAGCGAGGTTAACTGTCCAGGCGACCCACGTATTTAGATATCGTCATGAGCTAATGTCCACATGTAAACAGCAGCTCATGTTGTGTAGATGTCCAGTCAACAAGGATGTAGCGAGGTTGACTGTCCAGGCGACACACGTACTTAGGTATCGTCATGAGCTAATGTTCACATGTAAACAGCAGCTCATGTTGTGTAGATGTCCAGTCTACTCATGGCAGCGGTTGACTGACTGACTGACTCTTTAAGTATCATGTGTTCTATAGGAAGTAAAGGACCGTTACCTTCAGGTACACTATCAGTAGCGCTTCCAATGACTTCAATAATATTGCATTTTGCGTCATTCGCTTCCAAACAACATTCGTCAGGATGTATTTCAACGATGCAGTCATCTCCACTAGTATTGTTAATTTCAGCAAAAAACTTTAAACCAACTGAACTGGGAAAGATTTGATCGAGACCGGATTTCGTGACAATATTTTTACTAAAAACACACATTACTATGTTAAATAATATAAAACTTATGTAAAAATTCATCGGAAATATTCAATAATGTCATCGTTTTAGACGTCTTGCGTCACAGAGTGATATCTAGCAAATTGTGGCATTCCGTCATACTTGACGACCATTGACGAAAAATTTTGTAGAGTATTGTTTTTTTTTCGAGAGTACAGTCTACCAGACAATATCTGTACAAGAATAGTTTGTTATTAAACCTTTTTGGAGAAGTTAGTTTTATAAGGGAGAGCCATACTTCGGTACGAATGTGTCGGCTCGACCGGAGTGATACCACGGCCTCACAGTACACCAGCGTGACACTACCACAGCGTTGTGTGCAGCTGTGTAAATGGAGACCATATCCTGATATCCCCTATGTTCAAATATATAAATATAAAAATGTGTGTAAAATAACTTCTATGCGCTGACGCGAATTTCAAAAGCCACCTGGGGTCTCTCTTTTCTTACGCTCTTAGCCTACCTGGGATGCGTGTGCTACGGAGCACCTGTCTGGGCTGATAGGGCCACAATAGGCGCGGTACGGCGAAAACTTCTCCAAGGCCAGCGCCTAGCCTTGATTTTCCTGTGTAAGGCCTATAGGACGGTTAGCACTGAGGCCCTACCTGTGCTCGCAGGCGTTTTTGCCATACCTATTATTGAAAGCAAGTATAACAGCTCATACATAGGACCCACTTAGTTTTTAGTCAAATTTCCGTGGTGCTTGGCGACTGGGCTTCACCCAGTTGTACAGTCTCTTCTTTGTGCCTTTAGGCTTAATTCATTCTGTCTTCTGCAGTAATTCACCGAGGGAAGTGGAAACCATAGTTTTTTCTTCTTCTCCTCATATAATATCTTCTGATTCACTTCGTTGCGGGAGACAAGACAGTTAATCATGTCCCTGGGACGCGCCGGACTTCAGTGTCCTGGTGTTTGCGTGGTTGTATCTACTGTAGATCCTGGCTTACAGGAGTTGCAGCGGTTTTGGGAGCTTGTGGCGGGCTTGTCCCATATAAAAAAATCCCCTATGTTCATAAGGCTCATATATAGATGGTTGGCAGGCCACAACTGTGCGCTTCTCTCGCAGCTTTCTACCTCGCCCAGCGAAACTGTAGAATAACCTGTTGTCGGCGTTATTTCCGAACCGATACGACCCTCAAGAAAAGAGCATATTCCATCATAAAAGGCTGGCAACGCACTTGTAACTCCTCTGGTGTTCCAGGTGTCCATGGGCGACGCTGATCGCTTACCATCAGGTGATCCGTCTGCTCCCTATTCCATAAAAAAATATGGGTAAGCACGGATGTGCCGACTCGACTGAAGTGATACCACGGCGTCACAGTGCACCGCACCGGCGTGACACGTGTGAGTGAGGGCAGTGGAAGCCTAATCCTGATAATCCTGATTATCCCCGATCTTAAAAAGGCGGGGAACTTTCCCCTATACTTACTATACTCTTTGCTGGTAAGGCACTTGTAATTCCTCTATGTTACGGGTGTCCATGGCGACGCCATTTGCTTACCATCAGGTACGTCTGCTCGTTTGTCGTAAAACGAAAAAAAAAACAACTATTATTTATTTAAACACTGTTTATTCATTCTTATTATTATAAAATGGCATATTTTTGTTCGTTTTGTTTACAAAATCCAAATATAATTACAATAATATCATTATAAACATTTCATAAGTAAACGAAGATGGTAATAAACTGCGCTTACGTAAAAATAACTCGCGCTCAGCATTTAATGTCCCCAATGTAGCATGAGGTCTGTATGTCCAATCACTATAGAATGAATCACAATGGAATGTTCAATGATTTAATTCTCTATTCAGGGGAAAGTAGAGTAAACCAGATCACGAGGCAGAACACCTATGCCCTGGACTGAACAAGTCAAATCAGAAACAGGAAACCCAGTGTCAGACTGCCAGACAATCCACAAACAGAGAGAGATGGCGGGAGATCGTGAGGAAGGCCTCCAACACAAATACAGCCGCCTCAACGTGACCACGAACGCCCTGCCAAGAGCGAAGTGACAGAGAAGAAAAAAATTCTCTATTGATGTCATGGTGGCCCGAATGCTTAAGACCTCTTCTCATGCATGAGGGTGTGGGACCGAAACCTACCAACGGCAAGCACTAATGTGACATTTTCCGAGTTATATTTACGTTCAAGATTATTATTTAGACACCACTGACAAACAACACAAACAAGTTTAAGTGTGGGAGAGCCATGCTTCGGCACGAGTGGGCCGGCTCGACCGGAGTGATACCACGGCCGAGCAGAAAACCGACGTGAAGCAACGCTTGCGTTGTGTTTCGTCGTGTGAGTGAGGTTACCGGAGGCCCAACTACCTTCCCTTTCCACAATCTCCCCAATCCCTGAATCCCCAACGATCCTCAAACTCCTAATCCCCAAAAAGCCGGTGATGCACTTGTAACGCCTCTGGTGTTCCAGGTGTCCATGGGCGACGCCGATTGCTTACCATCAGGTGATCCGTCTGCTCGTTTACCGGCTTATGCCATAAAAAAACGGTGAAGGGAAAACATCGTGAGGAAATCTGAAATCGCCAACCCGCATTGAGCAAGCGTGGTGATTAATGTTCAAACCTTCTCCGCCTGAGATAAGGTAGTGGTTTTAGCAGTGGCCACTTTTTAAGCTGTTCAAGCTGATGATGATTTTTGTATTGAACAAAAAGACCTCACAATACTTTGACGCCACGTGGTGAGCAAAAACAGGGGACTCTTGTGTGAAGCAAAGTTTTCAGATCACACATTTTGGTCATTTATCATACTGTGGATATAATGACAGATATAATAATATACATAACATAACATCACGCCTTTTATCCCCGAATGGGTAGGCAGAGGTGCACATAACGGCACTTAATGCCACTGTACAATGTAACAACCACTGTTCACTATTTATGTTATAAGTCCCATGTAATAGTGGGTGAGGCTATTGCCATATACCGAGCTCTATTCCAGACTTCGTGCTACTACTGAGATTTTGAAAAAGCCCAATAATACTTTGCCCAACCCGGGAACCGAACCCGAATCGAACCCCTTGCCCGGCAGTCACAATTGCGACCACTCGGCCAACGAAGCAGTCCAATAACAGATATATAATATAGTAATTACAATAAGTAGGTACATACATAATCATCTTATATACTAAGTACTGAGCAAAAAATCGTCTACCTTTATCACATTATCTTAAAAACTAAATTAAATATGTCAATTGTCTTTATAGTTAGAGAGATGACGACCAAAATTTTTGTCTCATAGCAATACGGCCAAAACCGCCTCAAATCGATAGATACGATTATCCTGAACTCGAAAATACCAATATCAGACATTTTCCGCGTAGCGTTTGATCTGACCACAAAAACACCAGACAAAAAAATTGTCTCATAGCAATACGTCTGAAAACCTTTTTTATTAGTAAATTTTGGTTATTTGATGCGAACAAAACAATTTTCAGACGGAAATGTGAACGCATTAAATATTGAGACCGTTTTGAAAATGTTAATAAATTTTATCGTTCGGTATCATGGCAATATGTCTGAAAATTGTTGGACATGATAAAATAAGTTGTCCACATGTACAAAAAATGAATATCAGACAAAATAAGTGTAGCACCTTCTCTATCAGACAACTTTTCGATACTCAGATATTTTTGACACAGCAGAAATGGCCTCTCACGCAGTTGCTACACTTTCGACCGTTACTACACACCTAGTCGGGTTCAGAATCATACAATCTAACGATTTTATAGGGTTTTTGCCGTATTGCTATGAGACATGGTTTTGGTCGTCATCTCTCGTACTTACAAGTGGGTAAGTCTTCTACAAAAAATATTATTTTTACCAATAGACGCTTCTAACTATAGAGAGGAATTAATTTATTTGCATTGGATAAGGTCTATTGCAACGACGTTGAATAAAACAGCAGACGTAATATAACTTAGAAATGATTGAAGCACCGAAATGTCAGTGGTGTATTTATGTGTGCGTGTACTAGCAACAGCGTAATGTATGAAGTAATGGCGGGCAATGTCACGCGACAGATGTCCTTCGTGTCAATGTGTGTGTATTCTGCGTGTAAGTCTATAGCAGCTAGATGTCGCGAAGAACCTAACGGGTTATCGGGGCTCCGGCTCGACGTGCAGGAGAAGGAACGGGTTTTTAGTCAGTAAGAGTCTGACACTCCTTCCCGCTTCACCCAGGTGGGAGAAGTCATCCGATGATTTTCCCCCCTTAAAAAAAATAGCAGCCAGATGCCACAGTCTGTGTTTCAAGAGACTGTGTCCGTTTTTTTTAACGTCTTTGTAATGTCACTTAGAAATTATTGAAGCAACAAAATGGCAGAGTGTTATGTGTGCGTGTGTAATGAGTTACCACGTTACTAGACTTAAGACAATGACAGATGTCCTTCGTGCCAATGTGTGTATGTTTTGCGTGTCTATTGGCTATATGCAAAGCGAGTAGTGGCGGACAGATAACGACCGCAGCGCACAACACGGCAGAAATTGGAAACAAATGCGGATGATCAGCTGTCAAATGTGTTGATTGCAGTACAAAATCAAAGCAAAGAAATGGACCATGGCTCATATTTAATAGCTCTGGCCGTTATGTCGCAGTTCTTCCACATTTCTTGCATGCTCGGCTAATACTAATTTATTGCCTTTTGTCTCAGTTTGTGGTTGGAAACTAATATTATGTGTAATAGTTTCAAACCCAGTTTTTATTATTATATTAATTTTGCAGTAAAACTATTAATATAAATTGCACTTAAATAATGTCAACAATACTATTTTATATTTGCAAAGAAAACTATAATGTATACATTGTTATTATTTGACAGCTTCCGTAAATGTTGAAAACGCTACGCGTCGCCACCGTCGTGCACATAGCCAATAGTAGCCAGGTGCCACAGTCGTTGTTCTAAGATACTATGTCCGTCTTTTTTTTTCATCGTCCTTGGCCTATTGTCCACGACGCGTTATTTAAAGAATGTATGCAACCTTCAAATGGCGCTTTGTAGACAGTGTTCATTGTTCCTAAGTAAGATGCAAGTATTTGTTATTTCTATAGTGCATGCTTTCTTCAAATGCGACACTAGCGACATCTAGTAAAAGGTAAAAGTAATCGAAAACCGTTATATATTTTTAATTCCTGAGTTGAAGACGCTATGCAAAATTATGTAGGTACTTAGTACCTGTCATATTTTTAGCCAGACCCAAAAATATGCTTAAAATCTAGACTTAACTAACATACCTAATTTGTGATACAGTTTCATTTCCTAAATAAAATATAGAAATTATTATACGTATATAAGTGTAAGACTTTTTTTATTGATAAATTAATTTGTATAATGAGTTTTTTTGTGAAGGTGGCGCTAGCATCGTTTTGTGAGTGCAAGTCTTTTATGTATTGTCAACTCTTTTTAGATCAAAGATACCTTTGGATAAATTTGGTAAAAAATCAGATCGTACATCGACAAAACAAAATTCTACCGTCTATTTGCTATCATAACAAAATTTAAAAAAGAGTTTTTATCATTCATCACTATGAATCATGAAAATATCACGTCATTCAGAAACCAAATAGTCTACAAATACGTATTTCATTTACATCAAAATGTACTTAAAAACGATACCAGCGCCACCTAGCCAAAGCAAAAATTGAATTCGAACTATATTTATCAAGAAAGTTTTGTTTTAGAAGTCTTAAACAAAACTTTGTCGTTTATTACAAATTGTTTGGTATTTAATTACTTATAACATACATATTGTTATAAATACTTAGGTATATACCATATTCATTAAAAACTAAGAATACCGCTAATCATAGCCCATAATAACCTAAAGAATAACAATCCTAAGATTCCACAGAAAGTGTAATGTAGAAATTTAAGCCTGTGGTGTTTTTTAAGACCTTCTGGCACCGTGTCGACGGGATCCTTCAGTAAATACACCCTGACTCCTCGGATGTAATTGTAAAAATACTCGTTCCACTGCAAGGCACTCATGTCAAAGTCAAACAGGTATTTGTCGGCATCACATAACTCTTTGAAGAGCTGTTGAGTGTTCGAGTTGTCGAACTTCCACTCGCGAGTCGCGAAATAAGCCATCACTTCGGAGAATTTCGTTATCTTCTTGTATGCTTTTCTTAAACTGGAACGCAAAATAATATAGTTTAATATAACATAACATCACGCCTTTTATCCCCGAAGGGGTAGGCAGAGGTGTACATTGTGCCACTGTTCAATGTAACACCCACTTTTCACTATTTATGTTATAAGTCCCATGTAATAGCGGGTGAGCCTATTGCCATATACCGGGCACAATTCCAGACTCCGTGCTACTACTGTGAATTGTTTGAAAAACCCAGTAATACTTTGTCCGATCCGGGAATCGAACCCGAGACCCCGAGACCCCGGCAGTCGCACTTGCGACCACTCGGCCAACGAGGCAGTAGTAATTAAATTAGATTAGAAAACAGATTAGGATTAGTTAAACCTACCAAAAGATAACTAGGAAATAACAAATTGTAAATTTAATTACTAAGTTAGTCTGAATAAAGGGCTTTTTTTTTTTGGAAGTCTCATAATTGGCGTATGTCAACAATTAAGTACCAAAATCACTTTCTAACTCAACAATGCGCAAAGAATGATCACATAATCCATTGTTTTTATAATAACTATCGCGAGACATACTAAATTAATTAAAAATCGCGGGCTACTCACGTGAATATACTGAGAAAAGCTCTACTAGTTTCAAACCACAGAGGGGTTCTTCCTCATGAGCAGCGTGCGCGGTCGCGGCTATGTCGACCGCGACCGCGCACGATACTCATGAGGAAGAACCCCTCTGTGGTTCGAAACTAGTAGAGCTTTTCCCATAATCCATTGTACAATTTAAATAATACTCACATAGGCTTCTTTCCAATAATGACAGCGATTCCATCAATGATATAAGCAGGGATCCAATGTAACAAGAAGCAGTACAAATTGTACAGAAACTTGGACGAAGTCAGGTGAAATAGGTAGTAGTATATCGCTTGGACGGTCGGCACTTGGAAACCGTAGACTTCGTTATAGTTCATGAATTTCTCTGAAAAATAGATAGAGATCGGTATTAGGTAAATACTTCACGTTGGAGAGCCAGAGATGCTTTGGCTCAGCTCATACCAAGACCCCACAATGCGACATGAAACGACCAGAACACATAACATCACGCCTTTTATCCCCAAAGGGTAGGCAGAGGCGCACATTACGGTACTTAATGCTACTGTACAATGTAACAACCATTTTACACTATTTATGTGCAGAGTCCCCTGTAATAGGGGGTGAGCCTATTGCCATGTACCGGGCACAATTCCAGACTCCGTGCTGCTACCACTCGGCCAACGAGGCAGTCAGTCGACCAGAACCTACTCTACATAAGAGGGTTTGCCAAAATCTCCACGCTTGGCAGGCCAGGTTCAAGATATTAGAGAGCGCTCCTGCATAGTCTCAGTCAAATAGTGAGTCAATCAGTCCCCAACTAAGTGAACTCTTACGAGTTCCACAGGTAATTTATACTATTTATTTTAAAAGAGTGACGATGATCACTCAAAGATATTATTGGCGGTGGCGCGTGCAGTGGATCGCTCGCTTCCCTACAATATGGTTGAGTTGGGCGGTGCTGGTGTACGTGTCATGTTCGTGAACTGGCGCCGTCAACTGGGACTGGTCAGCTCCAGACTGTATTATTTATTGTCTTTAAGGTTATTTTCTTTTTCGATCTCTTTGGCTGGATTTTGGTGTTACATTGTTCTCGCACAATCCAACCTGATTGAAAAAGAGTAACCTATGGAGTTTCTTGCTCGTTCTTGTCCATAGGAATCTACACCTTGGAATGAGCAAATAGCTTCACTTTTAATTGCTTACGTTCAAAAGTGCCTTCCTGGTCTAATTGATATAAATGATTTTGATTTGACTTTTGACTTTGCCTTTGATGAAGTTTCTTGCCCGTTCTTCCCTACACGAATGTCTATTTTGGAACGAGAACCTAGCTTTACTGACGGACTATAGTTATGACGTTACAAAATACCGTTTCGAAATAAATGCTTTGACTTTGACTTTGACTTTGAAACTCACCCCAAGTCAACGGCCTCTGTTCAGAAGACACGTAGTTGTAGACAGGAGGGGTCAAGTCTGGAGGAGGAGCATCCTCATGGTTACTGGGATATTCCTTCGCCGTCTTCCAGGCTGTGGCTATGCAGGCGTTGACCACCATGTCTCCTGGCACCAGATCTGCTTTGACCTTGGGATTGCAGTTCAACACGTGGAGGAGACCTACAGCTGCTCCTACTACCACCTATAAAGAATGGAATTTTTTTTATACTTATTAGTGTTTGTACATTATCTCGCCTGGTAGTGCACGATGATGCGGTCTACGATGGAGCACGCCTACTGAAGGAACCTATTCACACGGGACTTGATGACATCCAGGTTATATATATCCTTCTAGAAAGACAGACTTTGACAAGAAATGCCACTCGTTCACGGTTCACATACGGAAACTCGAAGTGTTTTTTTTTTAACATAACATAACATCACGCCTTTTATCTCCGAAGGGGTCGGCAGAGGTGCACTTAATGCCACTGTACAATGTAATACCCACTTCTCACTATTTATGTTATGAGTCCCATGTAATAGGGGGTGATGAGCCTATTGCCATATACCGGGCACATTTCCGAACTCCGTGCTACTACTGAAGTTTTTACAAACCCAGTAATACTTTGGCCGACCCGGGAATCGAACCCGAGACCTGCCGAGACGCACTTGCGACCACTCAGCCAATGAGCCAGTGTTTTTTTTAGTTGCAGAAAAACTTATGATAATTTTGAGGGTGAAATTTATTTATAACTAGCGATCCGCCCCGGCTTCGCACGGATGCAATATGCATGTATTATACATTTATGCATTCCTCTTGAATTACTCTATCTATAAAAAAAACCGCATCAAAATCCGTTGCGTACTTTCAAAGATTTAAGCATACAAAGGGATATAGGGACAGAGAAAGCGACTTTGTTTTATACTATGTAGTGATACTTACACCGGTAGGTCCATAAACGTTGTCGATCCATCCTGACACAGGTTCCTTAGATGTTCCGATAACTGCAATAGAACAAAACAGAACCATTGAAGCTATTAATTTTAATGTACTGCGAATCAAACCCGCGACAGCCGGTTGTCCAGCCATCTCACCAACCGTGCCGTCAAGAACAGACTGTCGCGGAATGCTGCTCATGAATATGAACCTTTAGTATAGCTTGAAACTAGTCGAGTTCCTGGTCAAATCGTTACGTGAGGAAGTCGAAAGTCCACATCAAGTTAAACTCAATGGTGCACGAAGTTCTATGACTGTGGTTATAGCTAGTCAGATAGTCGTAACTCTGAAAATGAGTGATCTTTAGCGGGGGTATTGAATTGAAGTTAACTAAATATCGCGGGCTACTCACGTGAATGTATTGAGAAAAGCTCTACTAGTTTCGAACCACAGAGGGGTTCAGTAGGCTGCACGACATCACAGCGACCGTACTCGCTGCTCATGAGGAAGAACCCCTCTGTGGTTCAAAACTAGTAAAACTTTTCTCAGTATATTCACGTGAGTAACCCGCGATTTTTAGTTAAACTGTCAAACACCAAGCGGTCACCGGTGACCGCAACCTATTGTTCTATAATTGTGTCTATAATGACGGTACTCGACGAGTTAATAGGGTATTGAAGGATAGATGTCATATCAGTTGCTGCAATAATCAGTAGGTACCTATTGAAAGACGAAGACGACTTACCAATTGAAGGTCTGAATAGCGCAACTGGTAGACCCTTGGAGTACTCTTTGACGATATTCTCAGCTACCGCCTTAGTGTAAGCATACGTGTTGGGGAAATCTCCCAACAGGCTGTGAAACAGGGAAAAATGAATATGAAAAACAGTTTTTCTTGAACAGTAGGATTTCAGTAGGATTTTTAAGCAGTCAGACGAGCGATTGGGCGTCGAGAACCTAACGGGTTATCGGGGCTTCGGCTCGACGTGCAGGAGAAGGAACGGGGTGGTGTTTAGTCAGTAAGAGTCTGACACTCCCTCCCGCTTCACCCAGGCGGGAGCAGTCATTCGATTATTATCCCCCTTAAAAAAAAGACGAGCAATTGGCAAAACGCTCTACTGATTGGAGCCCACTCAACGTCAAATACACGTCGCGGTAGGCCCAGAAGGAGATGGCGGGATGAACTTAACGCCTATGAAAAGAATTGGTCACAAAGAAAGCTACAAGAAGATACGAGTTGAAGGAGGGTTGGGAGGCCTTTGCCCTGCAGTGGGACAATCATGGCTAAAAATAAAAGAAGTAGGATAAAAGAGTTCGTTACGGTCATTGTATGTATGTATGTATGTACAAAGAGTTAACATAACATAAC